GAGGCTGCACCTCCAGCCGTCGCCACCGCCGCCGGGACTGCAGCACGCCCTCCTCCCTCGGGGCTGCGCCGGGTAATTGCAAGCCGGGTCTGTGCTGCCCCCTGCCGGCCTGAGAGCCCCCTGCTGCTGTAGGTGTGCTCACGTGTGTACACGTAGGTGAGCACACACGTGTTTCCGGCGCCCCGAGCCCTGGAGACCCTGGAGAGTCCTCTCTCGCGCCCAGTTAGGAAAACAGGGCTGCATGCCCTCCGGGAAGTCGTGCCCCGGAGGCCAAACAGAGAAAAAATTGTTTCCCCTTCTGGAAAAATAGCACTCCATTACCCCTTCTGGAGAACGGGAAAGGTGGACTTGATTACCACTGCAACAGGATCTGTCGGTTTAAGATCCCACACCTGGATGGGCTCTTCCAGCCGTTACAGTCCTCTGGACTGACTCTGGATAAGGAACCTGAGGCCTGGCGAGGAGGGAAAGTACTTTTCCAACATACTGCGCAGGAAAGCGCATTTCCTCAAGGAAGTCATGTCCAGAATTGAGGCAAAAGCCTGCGTAAGTCTCTATCACTGAGAAGGCTGGTTCATACCGGTTGAATGACTGAAAAGCAAGCAGCGTAGAACTGGGGCCCCGAGAATGACTAGCATAGAACTATTGAGATTATCGGCGACAGATGAGATACATTCTAAGCCAGGCTCAGCGCTTCAGGTGAGAGTCATCCAGAGCTGCTGCATGAGGAATGGAGATGAGGGTGAAAGAAGGTCGGGCCTCTGGGGAGGAATAACACTACTGTGTAACATGCACTTAATCTGGTGCCAGACACTGTGCTAAATCCTTCCCATTCATCGTCTCACTTAATCCTCACAACAGCCTGCTGTGGTAGATATTCTTATCCCCATGGTACAGAGGAGGAAACCGAAGTTTAGAGAGCTTAAGAGTTGCTCCAGGTCCCATGGTTAATACTTACTCATTTACCAAAGCTGTTGCTCATACCACCACCTCTGCTACCAGGCTGAGGCTGGCAAGACTGGCATTAGCAAGTGAAAGCTCCTGAGAGGCCTGGAGGAGGCAGTGGGCATGCCCAGGAGGTCAGAGAAAGAGGGAGGAATGAATTTAGGAGACATTCCTAAATAGACGTTTATTGAGGATCAGACATTGTTTAGCTGATATCATAGATGATGTTTTTATTATTCCTCATGCCAACCCTTCCAGGGAGTTGTTATCCGCGTTCACTTAGGCAGGGTTTGGGTCTTAGAAGAGCAATACCCTTGCCAATACCAGGTTTCAGAGCTCTTTGGTACCTCACCTGTTGGCTAGTATTCCCTTTATGGCTTGGCGAGGGGCTCCCATGTGGCCATGCACTCCGAGGGGGCATCTGCAGCCAGCCTTCGGATTCCCACTGTGCTCCCCGCCCTCCAGGCTGGATTTAATAGAATGCCATTTGGAAGCTGATGTTCAAAGGTAGCTCAGCTTTGCTACTGGTTTTTCTAAGTAGCCCGTCTCCTGTGATAGCTCTCCCAGGAGAGCTCTGGTAGACGGAGTAACGGCCACCTAAAGATGTCTACATTCCAGTCCTGAGAGCCTGTGAGTATGTCATTGCAAGTTGTAAAAGGGACTTTGCAGGTCCCACAAAGCTTTATACATTTAAATTGTACTTGGATGACTTTTCAGACACCAGGGAATTGGTCCAGCTGTGGTAGCACACTGCTAACATGCTATGTTCCACAGGCTGGGACTCCATGGGAGGCCAGCCTTTGTCCAACCTCAAGTCCAGGCACAGTGGTGCACACCTGTAATTCAGTGATTTGGGAGGTTGAGGCAGGAGGATTACTGTGCAAGAAGACCCTCTCTAAAAAAGAAAGAAATGTGGAGGCTGGCAAGGGGCATGGTGGTTAAGGTGCTGGACTCCCACATGGCTGACCGTGGTTCAATCCCTGGACCTGGTGGCTTACTTTTTTATGTTCCTCCTCTCTGTCTGTCTCTGGTCAGATTTTAAAAATAATAATAGGGGCCACAGGTGGTGTGGTGATTAAGGATGCTGGACTCCCACATGGCCAACTATGGTTTGAGTCCTGGACCTGGCAGCTTGCTTTCTCACTTTCCCTTTCTGTCTCTCTCACTCTGTCCTTCTCTGGTCAAATTTAAATAAAGAAAGAAAGAAAATAAAGAAAGTTAAATGAAATAATTCTTTTTTTGTTTGTTTATAATAGACATTTATTTAAAGTAATACACCTGCCGACCAAATTATTTTTAAATTAAACTTTTCAGGTTCCACCCCCACTTCATAAAAATACTTAAAGAACAACCACATCCACAATTGCAATCTAGTTACTTCTTTGCCCACTCTTCTCTCTCTTTTCTTTCCCGAATAACCTCTTTTAGATATGGTTCAAGGTAGAAACGATCCTTCTCGTATTTTGTCCACTGCTCTTTAGGCAAGATCTGCTGCCTCATGGTCAGGTCCAGGGCTCTCTTCATGCGAAACACCCTGTCATTATAAAGGTTCTCAGGAAGTCTTCTTATGGCTTCCTTCAAATCTTCATTCTCGTATATCGTATCATCTCACATGAACCCCCGTTTATTGAATTCTGCAGCACTGAAATACTATTTTCGAATACCATCCAGCCACCGACCTGATGCTGAAATGGCCGGCCTCTCGCCATTTTGACCAGAGAGCCAAAATAATTCTCTTTTTTTTTTTTTTTTTTTTTAAAGGCATATGGACGTGAGTACTATAGGAGATGACTAGGTCAGATCAGGAGAGCAGAGCCCTCATGAATGGAATTAGTGACCTTACAAAAGAGAGCCCAGGGACTCCTGTGCCCCCTCCACTGTGTAAGAGCAGAGTAAGAAGGTGCCATTTATGAACCCGGAAACAGGTCCTCACCAGACCCTTCGGTCTTGGACTTTCCACCCTCTAGGACTGTGAGAAATAAATCCCTGTCACTTATAAGCCATCTAGTTAATGGCGCTTTATTATAATAGCTCAAATGGACTCAAGTGCCCAAGATTTCTCCTGCTCCTGTCTAGAGACAGCCTGGGCTGAAGTTCTCAGGGAATAGTCTGTACTGCCCTCTAGGTGCTTCCCCTGGTTGTCAGCTATAGCTTGACTTTCTTGAGTTCATAGACATCATTTGGAATTGATTTCTAGGATCTCCTTCTTACCTCGTCCTTGTTAAAGCTGAGAACTGGGGCCAGTAGTTGGCGTGGTGGAGAGCACTGGCTTCCCATATGGCCGACCATGGTTCGAGTCCCAGACCTGGCGGCTTGCTTTCTTTCTCACTTTCTCTCTCTCACTCTCTTGCTCTGTCCCTCTCTGATCAAATTTAAATAAATAAATAAATAAAGTTAAATACAATAATTCTTAAAAAAAAAAAAAAAACTCAGTGCCACTTCTGTGCCCACCTCCTCAGGTGCTCCAGAACTCTCTGCTGTCCTTCCCCTCATATTCAGGAGTTCGGTGTCATTCATAAACCCAGGAGAGCCCCTGAGGTGTTGCTGCCCTCCAGAGTTGTTTTACACATTAATTAAACAGCCCTAAGCACCGTCTCTAAGGAACTCTTCTTCAGAAATGTGTCCTTTTTTCCTACCCTTTTTTTTTTTCCTGGCTTATTTCCTAGACTCAACAAAATCGTGCCCTCCTTCTAAGAGACTCCATTTTTTTCCTGATAGGACAAGATTACACTTTAATGTGTGTTCCTATATACTCTTTAGCAAATTTCTCCTTTCCATCCATATTTATTGAAAACGTACTACGTGCCACAAAGCCTTCTCTACTGTTCCTAGTGTCTAATAAAGGTCAGCTGTACCTTTCAGCTATGGATTAAAGACCAGATAGTAGGCAGCTGTGGTTTCTTGCCAACCTAGCATCTATTTTTCTTCTTTGATTATAGAGGTTGTGTTACCTTGTAGAACCACTTAACCTCCCACTCCAAGATGTAGTGGTTGGGACCAGCGGTTGGTGTAATGGTTATGTCGCTGGACTCCCATGTAGTTGACCATAGTTTGAGTCTTGGACCCAGCAGTTTAAA